CCTTCTTTTGACAAAAATTCCAGTCACCATCACGATTTCCTTCACCATTCTCTGTTTTGTTTTTGCAGGCCAAGCTGGGTGAGCGTATTGCGTTGTGACTTGTATTAACCCCACCCCCACTGAAATGATTGACAGAACAAAAAAACCCAAAATTCCTTCGAAGTTTGCAAAACATGAAGTGCAATGCAACAAATTTGCTAGTAATTCTACTACTACTAGAGAAAATTTTGAACAATTTGTCACAACAGTGTCAATGAATTGAAAGGAAAAAAAAACATTCAGTAATGATGTCCACGCATGTCTATGTTGTAATGATATCCCCAAGAAGCTGCAAGCAGATCTTTAATTTCAAATCTTGAAGACAACACTTGATCTTTGCCAGTGAATAGTTTTCCCAAAGTTGTTTAAATTTTAATGGTGCTGAGTTGTTAAAAGGAAGATTTAAAAGGTACTACTTTGGTACATGGGATGTGCTTTTGATCAACCTACTACACGAGTTGTGTTGGTAAATCAAATAAAAAGAATCTGAGCCACACGAATCTCTATCCATTTGCAGGGTAAAAGCTAGTCTCTCTTGCAGCCATTTTTTGGATGTCACGCAACGGCTGCAAGGGAGACTAGGTAAAAGCACAACCTTCATTTCTCAGTTATCTCAAGACCCTGAATATTGGTCCAACCATGGATTAATCACGCGACCTCTTGCTCTGCTGTCAAAAACTCTACCAACTGAGCTAAACCTGCCTATGCAGGGATTACACACCTAAAATTTGGGTTCTGTATATTTATCATAAGCACACCACATGCATCAAAGTTGTACCAGGTAAACTGGCCTCAAGATTGTTATCACCTTGACAATTTCTGTTTTCAATTTTAGGTTGATGAACTAGCAAGTGAGATTTCCAACATTGCAATAGAGGAAGAGGTTGATCCAGAGGTTCTCGACCTAAGACGCCGGCAAGCATGGGAAAGTGGTGAAATTGATTACTTAGGGCGAGACTATTCATTGCTGGTGCTGGTGATGGGACTAATATTAATGCAAAGTCTCTCTAAGATGGACATAATTAAAAAAATAATAAAAATTGTCCAAAATACCTTTACTGAGGGTGCTTTCCAAAAGTCAGAACTGACTGGAAGGATCATAGCCAGACCAGTCATTTTGACAATGAAAAATGCTTTTTTCCAAGAGTTTTTGATGAAAAACCATCTCTTTTGTGAAAGCTATTCAGGATTTCACCGATCTGGCTGGATAGTTTTGATTAAAAGTGAAATTCGTATTATGACTGGAATGGTTTGGCTGGTCAGTTCTGACAAATGGAAAGTGCCCTGTGTTTGGTCATCTTCAACCGTCTCAGATTGTGACCTGATCAGTGTTACCTGAAGAAAGATATTAACATGAGGGAGCAAGAATTTTAGTCCAGTTGGCTCTTGCCAAGTTGGACTGTCTCCATTGAATCTGATGTAATTCAGTTTGACAGCATTTTCTACCCCTCCACAACTCTATTTTGCTTACATTATTTTCTATAGTCTCTCGCAGGCAGACTCCTCGTGAGTCATGTTGATCTTAGCTGTCGTCCATCGGACTCAGTTTGGGTGTATTGGACAACCCTCACAAAGAGAGAGTCAAAGAAAATGTATTGTTTAAGAACAGCAGAGAGTAACTCTGCCTGTTGGTTTTGAGAAGATTCTGTTTAGAGACTGTTTAGTTGACTAAATGCACAATGATATTGCTCAAAGTTAACAGTACACTGAATTTTCTAACCTAACTTTAAAAGAGTCTCAGTCAAAAACATTAATAATATATTATTATGTCATTAATACTGTACTCAAAGTTTTGGATTTGTTTATTGTGTGTGTGTGTTATAAACTTTAGAGAATTAATAGGAGTTCACTGTGCAAATTTCTTGGTCCCTTTTTGTTACTGCACAATGCAGCTTTCCATAAATTGTTAGGTTTTTATTATATTTTGTTTTTCTTTACTGTAGCGTATCAAACACCTTTTAAAAGTAATAGTGCAGTGCTGATGCATGTTGAATAAACTGTATAAAAAGGTTCTAATGCAAGTAATTAATGCTTTATAAGTATGCAATTCATTTTTTAAGGCGGTAATTTAAAAACGCAGGTTTTCATTAACAATATTGTTATTGTAAGTTGAATGATTTTCACTGAAACTTGTCAGTCCTCATTGATGGACTGTCTTCATATAGAGACAAAGATTATTTCCAACCTCTCACTACAGAATGTTTTTTGCAAATAATTATTACTGCCAAATTAGTTTTATTGCTCTGTACCGCATTTTGCAAACTTCGAAGGAAATTGGGGTGTTTCTGTTCTGTCAATCAACTTAGGGACCTCTTAGGAAACACATGTGTACTTGAATGAGTTCTAAAGGTCATGGTTTGTGATTTGTGATTGGTGGATTTCAATCTGTTTGGTTTGTTTCTGTGTTTGAAGGTTCTTTGCTTGTGATCGTCCTGTTTCAGGCTATAATCGACTAGTTTTTTTCTAATCGGTCTTATTCTTGTCACTTGCGAGAATAAAGCAATGTCTTCCTCCTTCTTTTGACAAAAATTCCAGTCACCATCACGATTTCCTTACCATTCTCTGTTTTGTTTTTGCAGTCCAAGCTGGGTGCATTGTGACTTGCATTAACCCCGCCCCCCCTGAAATGATTGACAGAACAGAAAAACCCAAAATCCCTTCAAAGTTTGCAAAACATGAAGTGCGATGCAACAAATTTGCTAGTAATACTACTAGAGAAAATTTTGAACAATTTGTCACAGCAGTGTCAATGAATTGAAAGGAAAAAAAAAACATTCAGTAATGATGTCCACCCATGTCTATTTTGTAATGGTATCCCCAAGCAGCTGCAAACAGATCTTTAATTTCAAATCTTGAGGACAACACTTAATCTTTGCCAGTGAATAGTTTTCCCGAAGTTGTTTAAATTTTAATGGTGCTGAGTTGTTAAAAGGAAGATTTAAAAGGTACTACTTTGGTACATGGGATGTGCTTTTGATCAACCTACTACACGAGTTGTATTGGTAAATCAAATAAAAAAAATTGTTGCACATTTAAATTTTGTTTTACACAACCATAAATGCTTTTTCTTTGAGTTGTAATGTATTTAGCAGCAAAAAACACTGTTTTACATGTTTTGTTGAAAATGGTACTACCATAAAATGGTCATCTGAGCCACACGAATCTCTATCCATTTGCAGGGTAAAAGCTAGTCTCCCTCGCAGCCATTTTTTGGATGTCACGCAACGGCTGCGAGGGAGACTAGGTAAAAGCACAACCTTCATTTCTCAGTTATGTCAAGACCCTGAATATTGGTCCAACCATGGATTAATCATGCAACCTCTTGCTCTGCTGTCAAAAACTCTACCAACTGAGCTAAACCTGCCTATACAGGGATTACACACCTAAAATTTGGGTTCTGTATATTTATCATAAGCACACCACATGCATCAAAGTCGTACCAGGTAAATTGGCCTCAAGATTGTTATCACCTTGACAATTTCTGTTTTCAATTTTAGGTTGATGAACTAGCAAGTGAGATTTCCAGCATTGCAATAGAAGAAGAGGTTGATCCAGAGGTTCTCGACCTAAGACACCGGCAAGCATGGGAAAGTGGTGAAATTGATTACTTAGGGCGAGACAAATTCGACCTTATCCAAGATTGGATTCAGGATTCTATTAGCAGTGTTTTGAGAGATCCTTTGGATATTCCTATGTTCCTTGTTTTTTAGACTGTTTGGCAAATAATAATTAATATTATAATAATTATTATAANCCGGCAAGCATGGGAAAGTGGTGAAATTGATTACTTAGGGCGAGACAAATTCGACCTTATCCAAGATTGGATTCAGGATTCTATTAGCAGTGTTTTGAGAGATCCTTTGGATATTCCTATGTTCCTTGTTTTTTAGACTGTTTGGCAAATAATAATTAATATTATAATAATTATTATAAACCAATATAAGGACCAATGCACTAGCTTAAAGTCATCTCTTTGAGATTAATGAGCTTTAGATTAGGGGAGGGGGCTGGCAGGGGGACTTGTGATGTCTGCTGGTCATCAATATATCAGGTAATCCTGAGTTTACAGCTTGTAGGCAAAGCTCATTATTACATTATTATTATTGTTATTATTATTATTATTATTATTATTATTAAATTATTATTAATATTATTATTGCAGACAATAGTTATGTTCCATAGTTCAGAGTCAATTCAATAGACCTATGACACTAAGAAGCAGATGTCAATTTCTTGACAGCAATCCTCTGAGTTTGCCACATGTTGTCTTTCCCTGGAATGGAGCTGGTAAACTTTTCCAGTTCCCTCTTTACGAGACTTAGGGTGTTGATGAGGACTTGTGCTTTTTTTGTCATTATTAGTAATATTATAATTTTTGAGCTAGTACTCGTCAATGAAGTATAAATTGAAGATTTTTACCCCTTATCTCCTGGAGAAAGTTAGGGCAAATAAGGTGTAAAAAGTAATGGTTCTTTTAACCAGGGGGCATCTTGGACATATTATAAGATGGCTTTGTAGGGTAGTTATCTTTAACTGGTATGTTTTCAAAGGTTCTTTAACTCTACTTGCCATAATTCTTTCAGTGTATTAAAGAGGAGTACTTCAGCAGAATTATTACAGGGGAGGGGAGGATTCTCCTGTGACCTGAATATCTTTTAGGAAAATCATTGATTCCTTTATTAAGACCTTAAACTAAGAAGACTTCTTCATATTATTCTTTTTGAGGATTATCTGAGAAAAGAAAAACAAACTATCCTATTTACTGGTAAATGCTCCGTTTATAGTGGAGGTGCACATGGCTACTCCAGCTATAGTGAAAACCACAATGAACATTTGCATGACGGAGAAAATGGCCACCATGCTTGATTTTGCCCCGCCAACTTAGGAAGCAGTCTGTTGACTGCTGTCTGTAAGGAAGTACCCAACAGTGTCAATCCCTGAACATTTTTTCTTTCTTCTGGTCACTTATTTTTATTGAAAAATCTTGGAGGATTCTTGGCCCTTATTAGCACGTGGACATGAAGTGCCAGATTAAAAGTTGTGACACACGAGAACATGTTGTTTTCTTCCACTTCTGCAATTAAGAATTTTATTATTGGTTTCAATGTCACATGTAGAGGCGGACATGTGCAGCAATTTTGTGGAATGCAATATGATTGAATAGTAAAACTACAGTAGTGATATTAATTACAGAATAACAATGATTCAATGCACTACCAAAATTTTTATTTGCTTATTCTAAATTAAAGCAACATGAATAAACCTGGAGTTTGAATTGTATTTGTTACAACTCATGGTTGCACTCTGGCTTCAAAAGGAAAAAACCATATTTGGTTTCTTTTCAAAAGGCAGTATAAACTGAATAGGCCTGCCCACTCAATTAAACCCCCCACCCCCATATCAAAATAATGTACTTGAAATAAATAAACCTTGCCTAGATTCACAGAGGATTTACAGTACTACTATCCGAGTGTTGCTTAGCCTCCCACACAGGCGTTTTTAGGGGAGTTCGTATTTCTTCCCTCCCCAAGGCGAGAAATACGAACTGCTTCCTAAGTTAGCGGAACAAATACGAACTCCCCTAAAAACGCCTACGTGGGAGGCTAAGTGTTGCTGTGCCTGGATCGTAAATCAGCTTAGGTGTAGGGCTTGTTTGTTAGAAGTAAACAGCCAGCTAGTAAACCTCTTTTACAATTTATGGACGTTTTGCATTTGATCTTTAATTTGATTCGCTGGGCGAACGTTGCAGCTAATATATGTGCTGAAATTAATCTTATTTGGGGGAATTTAAAACAGGTACTTTTGGGCTGTTGTTTGCCTCGGGGAGCCCTGAACCCCCAGTCTATACCTATACTGTATTTCTAACTACAGTCAAACCTGTGTATAATAATAATAATAATCTTATATAGCACTGTTTCTCTACTGAACCAACAGCGCTTTACAACAGTGAATGATAAAGAAAAGTAAGTAAGATAAAAAAAGCCTGAAAAAACGCAGTAATTAATGATGATTCTTACAATTCAAAGTAATTCCTAAAAAGGTACGTCTTAAAAATGGATTTAAAAGATTCTGCTGACTTGCAATGTTTTATACTTAATGGGCGGGTATTCCACAGTTTTGGGCCAATAAAGGAGAAAGCTTGCTCCCCATGTGTTTTAAGATGTCAGCGGGGCTGTAGCAGTAGTTCTTTATCAGACAAACATAATGCCCTTGATGGTCCAGAGTGGTCACCCTTGTCAAATGGCAAGGTGACCGTGGTATACAGGGTAATCACTATATACAGGTCAAGTTTGCAGAAAATATAAGGCAACTGAAAATTTTGGGAAGTTGGCCGGTGACTGTAATATACAGGGTGACCACTATATATAGGGCTGTTATGTACACGTTTGACTATATAAGGTACTATTAACCAGAAATCTTGCATCTTCATGTCAATGAGAAGTTATTTTACGTTACAGGTAGTGACGTGATACGGCTAAAAGTCTAATTTCTCTACCCTGTCTAAAAGTAAACTGCTTCAGTATCCCCCAGAACACCATCGCCTTTGTGGCAGCACATACCCACTGGGAGGGGATGGCTACGCCCTTTATTCACCAGATTTTCGGTGTTTACATTTTCCTTAATTTTACACCTCCCTAATTAACCTCTTCCAGTCCGATGGTCTTCGAAAGTAAACCTCTTCGACTTCTTGGTCAGTCTCACGATTTCGGTGACGTGTTGTCTCAGCCGTCGCTGATAGTACTGTAAACACACCGAAATGATCACTGGGGAGAATTCCAGACTTCGTCAACTTGTCGCCAACGACCCGCATTTCCTTGACTTTGAAATCGCTCAGTTTGCAAAGAACACGATCCAGTCTTGCTTTGTAACTTGTGGCGTTTACAGTTCTCTTGAGAACAGAGGCGAAAGGGGTTTTGCTGCGATCCCATGTTAGTCCATTACTATCAGTATTTCCTGGTAGAGACAGCCATGCGTCAATCCAAGGAGAAGGAAGAACAATGTCTCCGTCAACCTTATCTTCAATGTTCAAGTCACCCATAACGCAGACATTTTCATAAGGGGAGAGAACTTTCAGTGATTCCTTTAACTGTAGCTCGCGAAGAATAGTATTCTCGCCCGCATGGACAAAGTGTGTTCCTGCAATCACAAACTGAACCTTCGAAGGAATAATATTCTTAGTTTCTGCAACAACAAGTTTTCGCTTTCGTGGAGAATTCCAAATCGGGAAATATACCACTTTTGTACTGCTGGATACATAATCAAAATGATTTCGAGAGAAATGGTTCCCTGTACCGTGACATCAGGGGGAATCAAGCGATATCTAGCAAACCACCTCTGTTCTTTTAACACTACCAAGTTTTCCAGTGTCACTTCTTGAAAAACCAAAATATCTGGCTCGAGATCATCTACGATTTGTCCCAAAGCTACTATTCGCTCCCGCATCTTCTCAGGAGAACGCCAAATGTTGTATGTTAGCATGCTGATTTCATCGGGAACACGCGATCTTGTTCTTCCATGAGCAAGAGAGCCATCGGAAGGTAATCTTAGTAAAGCACGGAGAACAAACACAGTGATTGTCGAGACTAAAATGACCAGAAATGGGTGATTTCGAATAAGCAACAAAGCTCTGTTGTGATATGAAGGCATGTTGACTAGCGTGACATGCCTTCGCGGTGGCACACTCTGATCTTTGCTCGGGAGGTGTGGGTGTGAGACTGGGTCGCGAAGTTTGGGTCGCGTGATCGGTACTTCCTCGTTTCCAGGCTCACTCTTTGGTAAGGTTTGTTTGTAAATAATTACCATAATAATTTTTTTAATAACCTGTGGTTTGGCCTCGGTAGTATTTTAATGGCACGAATGCTAGGTAGCTTGTGGTTCCAAGCAAATGACCGTAACAAATACTTTAATTGAAACATCCACGCTATTACAACAGCAACAACAATTTTATTTCTTGTAATGTATTAAGGTAATTTTTATGTATGAGCTTGCTACTCTAAAAAATTCGAGTGTAAATAAAGTTTATGTATCGGTCAGTATGAAACATGGGCTACGGACTTCGGACTGAGTATGAAATACGTACTAGGTATAAAGCGTCAGCTGGAAAATATGGACTGGGTATAAAATACGGAATTAAAATAACTGCAAAAATCGTGGACGAAGATCCTGCTGGTTGTAAAATACGGACTACGTTGCTAAAAACTGTGCTAATTGGTTCTAGGTAAGGTAAAATAACACCAAAAGATCGCTAAATAGCAAGACACGATACCAGTAGCGGATCCAGACCTTCAGATAAGGGGGTGCCCAGTCATCCAGAACGTGCGATAAGGGGGAAGGGCCCAGTCATCCAGAACGTGCGATAAGGGGGAAGGGCCTAGTCATCCAGAACGTGAGATAAGGGGGAAGGGCCTAGTCATCCAGAACGTGAGATAAGGGGGAAGGGCCCTGTCTCAAAAAGAATTTTTTTTTTAAGCCCTCAGTTTGGTCTAAAAATAAGGGGATGGGCCCGGGGGGGTGGGCCCCTCCTCTGGATCTGCCACTGAATACTCCTCGAAATTCTTGGTGGAGGTGTGCCACCCAGCTCTTTAACTCCTGGGCCTGACGAAAATGCTATTTTCTACACACATTTTTAGACCCGGTCTCGTGGGTCTCTAACATCCATGAAAAGGGTTATAATCGCGATGTACATGTTTACATGGGTTAAGGAGCAGGGCGAAATCATGTCATCATAATAGTCCGCGTTTTATACTCAGTCCGCAGTCCATGGTCCGCAGTCCTCGTTTTCTACTGACTGGTTTATGTATGTATATATGTATGTATGAATACTTTTGAACAAAACCGCGATTAAAATTTAACCCTGGGCTAGCGCTAATCCCCCTTCGAACAACTGGGTGCCCTCTTTTAGGTTATTAGTAGGGAGTTTAAGTAACGGCGACGGGAACGAGAACAGCAAAAAGGCAACAGGTTAGATTAGCAAAACAAAAACTTTGCACGTGCATCACGCTTTTTTGTACATTTCTTATCCGTCGTTGCACGACTACAATTAAAACGTGAAAGCGCCTAATTTCACGTTTTGTTGAGGACGGGGAACACAAGGCAACAACTTTCTTTTTCTATTCCTGAACTTTGATACAGTCCTTCAGAATTCAACTCCAAAAAAATTTGCGCACATTTGACGAATTAAGGGAGATGGAATAAGCGCGATAAAGTTTGAGACACTAGCGGGAATTCACATTTTAAGTCACTTTTTCGTAGCCGCCGCCGTCGTTTTTGCTTAAGCGCCCTTTATGACTTTTGCAACAGGACGGCAGAAAGAAGAGGACGGTAAAACGTTTATGTGCCAAAAACGTGACAAGGCCATTACCCGTGTGTTTTGTCGTGATCTTCACTTAACCTTAATGTTTACTGGTCTTTTACAAACGGGTCTCTTTAAAGGAAGGTGAAGTTTGGCGGAAAGTTTTTTCAGACAAAATTATTGCCACGTTTGTCACACAAGGTTTACAGTCTTCTTTCCTCTCCCGTCCTGTTGCGTATTTAAGACGTTTTACAGCGACGCACGTCAACCGAAAGTGAAACGTTTTCATTCTTGGGCAATAATTTTGCCCGAAAGGTTTGGCCAAATAGTCTTTATGAGACTTAAGACACTCAGCAATACAAATTTGAAATCATAATGGCGAATTAAAAGGGAAAAAGGCTCAATTCCGTTTGACGTGTGTCGCTGAAAAAAAAGCCTTTGCTTAAGCTCCCCAATAGAGAGGAGAAGTCCTCACGTCACGATGCCATGGTAGCAAAATTTCTGGATGACAAGAAACCTGATAAAGTCACTTAAAAGCCTACTCCTGGTCTATTCGCACTATTTCCATGAAGCTTCACCGATCTTATTCAATTTCGTTTAATTTGGCAAATCTTAGCGAAATTTTCTTTGGGATTGTATCTATCGTTATCTAAGTTTAGAAAAAGAAAGCGACAATTTTCGGCAGGACTTTTCCTCGGGTGACGAGTGACGGGTGGCGGGTGACGGGTGACGGGTGACGGGTAGCGGGTAGCGGGTAGACGGGTGGCGGGTAGCGGGTGACGGGTAGCGGGTGGCGGATGGTGGATCAGGCAATAATAAAAATCAAAAGGGGAAATCAAAAAAAGAAAAACTATAATAAAAATTACAAAAAGCGATATTTTAGCAATATTCTTCTACACGATATCGCATGCACGAGATAGCTTGAGGAACTCATAAAAATTAATGATAACAGTAATATTTATCCTGCGACCAGACAAGTAAGATCGCACTCTCTTCTCGACATGTTTGAACAGTGTCTCAGATTTTTGACAATTGCGTTTGTTCTTTTGTTATAAGTTGGGATAAACATTGCATTGCCCGTGGGATAAATCTTTGCCAATTTGGTTCCCGACCTTTAGTTTAAAATAAACAAAATGTCTAGTTCGAGAAAACAAGGAAATTTTCCTAAGACTAAAGCAACAAAGTTGTCAATGTTAATGCGTACCAGAGAAGGAGCAACAACGTTTTTGACACAGCATGGACCGTTTTCGCCGCATGTGGCGTCTCGGACGCGAATTATATATACAAAAAGGATCTGCATTTTTTAAAAACTACTTAAAAATACTGATTAGGATGGCATACTAGGGCAAAAACTGAGCATTGACACGGAATGCCGAATCTCTTGCAGTCTGTTATAAACACGGCTAAACAGTTGGAAAAGTGCAATCATCTTTCGTCTTGTTGTGGACGAAAAAGCAAACTAGACAAACAAGATCGACACGTGCCATGTGTCTTGCTTGACATAGCCCATTTTCATTTCACACACCGCGTGTAGCCTGACGAAACGTCACTTGCGGTGCGGCGCTAGTTTCTCGTTTTTTTTTTCCATTTTTAGTCCGCGTAAGTAGATAAGACAAACCAAGACGATACTTTTATTTGGAGTCTGGTAGCTAGTATATAAACGTTAAAATTATTTTAAAATTACAACATACAGTTATATCAATATCAATTACACTATAACGAGTTATAATATATTATTTTCATATATATTTTTATCCCGCTACCCGTCACGCGCCACCTGTCACCCGTCACCCGCCACCCGCGGAAAAGTCCTGCCGGACAATTTTTGTGTTGTGTTCACCTACTCCATAAAGCGGGCTCGTGAAATTAGGAAGTTTCATGTCGTAGTGGTGCAGCGATGGCAAAGAAATGTACAAAATAGCGTGATTGACGTGCAAAGTTGTTGTTTGTTAATATAAACATTTTATTTTTTTGCCGTTCTCCTTGCCGTCGCCGTCGTCGTTGGTTTTGTTGTTATGAAATAGTGCTACCGCGGTAACGTGACGTCACACTTCTCCTCTCTATTGGTCAATTTAGTAGCGATGTGTTGTTAAGCTCCCGCAACCCCCCCCCCCTTCTCCCCCCGATTTAGCTGTCCCCGAGAAGGAATCGAGAAAATGACCTCTGAATTTTATACGTTTTGACGTCATCAAATTGTAAAGTCTAAATAGCGAGGTTTTACGAATTCTTATTTTCACTAGGTTGAAGAAAAACAAAAAGTAAACTTTGTACAAGTTTCCATTTCCGTAGCATGTTTCATTTCGAAAATACAGCGGTTTGAACTTCCGAGTTTTCACAGTGCCTGTCACCACCAAAATAGGAATGCTGTCTGGTTGAAAAAAATTCTCTCCTCTTGATTTTCAGCAGTATAACCACTTCAAGTATTAGAAGATATGTTTGTGCGTACGTATGGTAGTTCTCAAGTGAAAAGAAAGAGCTTTTATAGAAAAAGTGAACTTCAGATGTTTTTGTTGATTTCCGGCGGCCATGTTGGTGCACCAGAAAGGTGCACCAATATGCCGTCTCCATACAAAGCTCTACAAAGGTGCGTGAAACAATTCGGCAAATAACTCAGAAACTGTCGGCCAGAAAGACCTGAGACTTGGTCACTTTTCAGTGTAAAACAAGAGTGAGATCTGGGTACGAGATTAGGACAAATTGTTTATATATTAGCCTTTTAGAGCGGTTTTCATTTGAGTGTCGAAAAGTAATTGGTTTTGCACTTTCTACACGATGCGATTGGCTTAAAAGATTCGCGCCACCTTTTCATCCAATCAGAAGTAAAACCAAAGCCAATTGTGACGCGCTCGCATGCATTTTCCCGCGCTTTGTGTCAGCCACATGTAATTACTTCGAGTTTTGATTGGTTCAATGTATTGTCTGTGTCCTATGTGATTGGCCAGAGTAATTACTTTGGTTTTGGTTTTACGACACTCAAACGAAAACCACTCTAAATGATTTTTTGTTTTATTTCACACAAGACCACATCAGCAGTGCTGTAATTTTATGGTGTAAAAATAAATGCTTTTAGTATTAACGTTATAATCATTGTCATCATTAGTCGTCCAATGAGGCAAGGAAACCCGGCAAAAAGTGGGCTGCACGTTCAGGGTTTTTGTTTTGCTTGTTTTCTCGAATCCGTCGTCATTTTGGTTACTCTGATGATCTCTCTAGTAGTGTTAGTATAGGTAATAGCATGACTTGTAGTGATATTTGGCATAAATACCTCAAGTGATATTTCAAAATTGTTATACGTAATTTCACGAGCCGTCAGGCGAGTGAAATTTGAGACAATTAGTGGTATTTATGCCAAATATTACGTACAAATCATGCTATTATTTGTTTATACTACTACCTGCAAAAGGTTTGTACTTTTCACATGTAGGTATTTCGAATTAAGTTGAAATACCACTGCTCTAAGACAATCAAATTGCAGAAATTTCTAATGTAGTAGTACTGAAGGCACGTAGAACAATTCTTGATATGCGACGATTTCGACTGAAAAATCGACTATTTAATGGGAAACGAGCCACGAAAATCGACGACGTCCGTGTCGCAGTTGACTAGCATGAGAGTTAAAGCTCTGTTTCATTGTTTAAAGGAATACAACAACGAGTTCTTTGTGGTTTGTAGCTGAACAGCTACGTCAAAATTGAATTCTATCGAGAACACTACCATGCCTGTCGTGCTTTATGGCTTTTTTGCTCATAATTCACAGTAAAATTTCTGTAATTATTATGTATTTACATTTACAGCTCCTTAATTAACTTCTTCCAGTTAGGTGGTCTGCGAAAGTAAACCTCTTCTTGGGCAGTCTCAAAATTTTTGTTACGTTTTGTTTGGCTCGTAGACGATAGTTCTGTTACTGTAAACACACCGAAGTGATCACTGGGGCGAATTCCAGACTTCGCCAACTTTTCGCCAACGACTCGCATTTCCTTGACTTTGAAATCGCTCAGTTTGCAAAGAACACGATCCAGTCTTGCTTTGTAAGTTGTGGCATTTACAGTTCTCTTGAGAAGAGGGGCGAAAGGGGTTTTGCTGCGATCATATGTTAATCCATTGCTGTCAGTGTTTCCCGGTAGAGACAGCCATGCGTCAATCCAAGGAGAAGGAAGAACAATGTCTCCGTCAACCTTATCTTCAATGTTCATGTCACCCATAACGCAGACATTTTCGTATGGAGAGAGAATTTTTAGTGATTCTTTCAGTTGTTGCTCGCGTTGAATAGTATTTTCTTCTGCATGAACTAAGTGTGTTCCTGCGACTACAAACTCCAGTCCAGGTGAAACAGCACTCCTAGTTTGTGCTACGACAAGCTTTCGCATGCGTGGAGAATTGACGAATGGATGAATGAACCATTTTTCGACAGCATATACGATTAGAATTATCACAAAATGGCGAGGTTTCTCCTGCATCTTGACACCGGAAGGAATCAAGCGATACCGGGAAAACCACGTCTGTTCCTCTAAAATAGCCAAGTTCTCTCGTGTCACTTCTTGAAAAACCAAAATATCTGGTTGGAGATCTTCGACGATTTGTCCCAAAGCTTCCATTCTTTCTCTCATCTTTTCAGCAGAAAACCAAATGTTGTATGTTAGCATACCAATTTCATCACGCGATCTAGATCTTCCATGACCAACCGAACCATTGAAAGGAACTCTTATGAAAGCGTGGAGAGCGAATACAATGACTATTAAGACTAGAACGATCAGGACTGGGTGTCGTATATTACGAGGAATGAGCAACGAGATTAGATTGGGATCCGAAGACATTTTAACTCATCATTTTCTAAGAACATGTAAGATGCTAGCTCAACAGGCTTCCGGTCGTGCTCGGTCATGCAAACATACTCTTTACTTATGTAAATTTCAAACTTATATTTCAGGAGCCGTTAAAAAATATTTTCTCTCGCTATAGCTCTGGGGTGACGTCTGGCTACAGCATCTTTTTAATTAGAGATCCGGCAAGAGGAACCAGACGGTTTAATTTACGCGTTGCGTGGACCTCTGCATTCAAGCAGTTTTTCCACACTTTTTCCTCGTTTCCAGGCCCCTTGAATTTTCCTTTGTTCCCTTCGGAGAGCAGTCAAAACCGTTTTGACTGCCAGGTGCCCAGGCCTCTTGCTGTATTAGTAATTTTTCCAAATCTTTGTTAATTGAG